ATGTACGGTGAGATGTAATACTGTTTCAAAGAACACTTTGACTACCTTCTTGATTGACCGTTTCTGTATCTCACCATAAAGTTTGGAAATACTGATGAGTATCGTTCCCTTCGTCATTCCAGTATAAAGGTTTTTACAGATTTTTACAAGGAATTTCGTCCCACACAAGGTTTCAACCCACCATGCGCTTTACTAATGTTTAATTTTTACTTTATTTTTAATTTTAATTTTTTTTTTTAACTAATAAAAAAAATTATATAAAAATTTAATAATAATAATTTATTAATTGCAAAACGTAATCTGTAAAACAATTAGTAAAGGCGCTGGGGGGGGTGAAACCCTTTGGGGACGAAATTCCTTGTAAAAATCCTAAAAAACCTATATACGGATTAACGAAAAGGAACGATACTAATAGTATTATTCAAACTATTGGTTGAGAGTACAGAAAACCGTCAACAAGAAAAGTAGTCCAAAGGTCAAAAAACAGTAATTACTATCCTCACCGTACCATTATATTGAGAGGCGTTTCTACAACTTAATAAGGAAATTTTACATGAGATTAGTTTATACAAATAATATAATATAATAAAATTCATTAAATTATTTATAACCACAATATTTGTCTTTTTGGGTCTATCTCAAAGTTTTATCATAGTTCACAACCCGTTGAATGAAAGTGTATCCATAATGAAAGTAAACCTTCATTATTCAATGGTATGTTATAATGACCGACACATCACACATTGCATATGGTGACCACAACACGAATGTGTATGTAAGACTGTGTGTAATTTGGTGTAATAAGACGGATGAATGACAACACATGAGTTTCATTATCTCCGTCAACAGCCAGTCCTACTTGGTGGCAGAGAAGGTGCAGAAGTGGGACGGCGGACGTTTCTTTTTGTGTGTGATAAAATCAAATTGGACTTCCCCGCTGTCACAAACACGTACACCTCCGATTGGACGTCGTCTGGAGGCGAGGTGCGCGGTGTAGACCGAGACTAGTAGTCGAGAGACGTAATAATCTGAGTTAGTCCTCCGACCTAAGAGGGACGTCGTGGGGGAGGGGCAGAGATCCCTGCGTACGGACTCCCGACCCTTTTGACAAGTTGTGCGACGATGGAATGTCTTTTTTGGTTCTGTACATGTGCGGTGTATGTACCCTTTCGAAACCGTCCTCACGTAAGTTGAACAAACTGGTCTGACTGCCTAAAATACTCGAACCGAACTCTTTTCAGACTATAAAATTATAATATTTTTTTGTCTCTGTCTTCCTACTGACAAGGTCTCTCCCACAAACCTAAACATTGTACACTTGTGTAGAAGCAAAATAGACTCTCATCCTGACTGTAGGAGAGGTAGACGGAGTCTATTTTCATCTAATAACCCTAATGACCTAACAGACCATTAATGTGGTAGTCACTACGGTAGATGGATACATTAGGTTTCTTTTGTGTTACACGGACTACAGTTACAAGTCAGACGTGTTATTATTGTACAAACGACTGAAGTGTCTCACTCGTGTTTTCCCGTCGTCAATGACTACATTTAGGTTATACCAATTACAGTGAATGGGTCTAAAGGTATTCTATGACCGTTCCGACCTCATTTTTAGGGTGTAGATATCAGGTGAATATTTGTTTAGGCTATCTCGAGGCGTGTCTAAATACCAAATGCCAGTCCTGTGATACTCAGACATAAATAGTCGAAAAATGGTGACCTGATACCTGCTTACAAAACTCCTAAAAACGACTATTACCTCTAAGTGAAACAAGGTCATTTATGAGCATTCCAAACATTAATATAGAGACAGACCGAACGACTGCACATTGGGACGCAGAGGACCTGTGTAACAGTTGTGGTATTCTTAGTACAGCTCGCCAGGGCTTGGTGCGAGAGACACGCCTGCGCTTCCGTCCCGCGGATTAGGGCAAATCAGTTATATATATAGTCTTTGTTTTAATAAGGAGTGCTGTCTCCCGGACTCGCGACGAGCTGAGTTGACGGGCCAGGCACCAATTTAATTATGTATGACCCTTTAAAACGTAACGTCCATTATTATCAGCCCTGACGCGCGCATGCGAGGTAACAAACGTACGACAGATTACGTTCATATATACATATAGCTGTAGACTATGCCGAGTCCAGACTCGAAGTTCCTCTATGACTTATCTAGTTTAACTATGGACTTCATAATCACGAGCCTCACGTCCTTCAACCAGGTCCTCCCGTAGTCCGAAGAGTCCTCCCCCACCTCAAGTGATTTACTCTCTCGCCCCTCGAATTCTTATATCACAGCATATACTCGCAGTTAAAACAGATAAAAAGTTTCGAATAACAACATAATATATTCTCCCTATTTCGAGTCTCACCCTATCTTGTATATTTCAGAGTAAGGTTGTTCTCTCCGCAAAGATGTTGAATTATTCCTTTAAAATGTACTCTAATCAAATATGTTTATTATATTATATTATTTTAAGTAATTTAATAAATATTGGTGTTATAAACAGAAAAACCCAGATAGAGTTTCAAAATAGTATCAAGTGTTGGGCAACTTACTTTCACATAGGTATTACTTTCATTTGGAAGTAATAAGTTACCATACAATATTACTGGCTGTGTAGTGTGTAACGTATACCACTGGTGTTGTGCTTACACATACATTCTGACACACATTAAACCACATTATTCTGCCTACTTACTGTTGTGTACTCAAAGTAATAGAGGCAGTTGTCGGTCAGGATGAACCACCGTCTCTTCCACGTCTTCACCCTGCCGCCTGCAAAGAAAAACACACACTATTTTAGTTTAACCTGAAGGGGCGACAGTGTTTGTGCATGTGGAGGCTAACCTGCAGCAGACCTCCGCTCCACGCGCCACATCTGGCTCTGATCATCAGCTCTCTGCATTATTAGACTCAATCAGGAGGCTGGATTCTCCCTGCAGCACCCCCTCCCCGTCTCTAGGGACGCATGCCTGAGGGCTGGGAAAACTGTTCAACACGCTGCTACCTTACAGAAAAAACCAAGACATGTACACGCCACATACATGGGAAAGCTTTGGCAGGAGTGCATTCAACTTGTTTGACCAGACTGACGGATTTTATGAGCTTGGCTTGAGAAAAGTCTGATATTTTAATATTATAAAAAAACAGAGACAGAAGGATGACTGTTCCAGAGAGGGTGTTTGGATTTGTAACATGTGAACACATCTTCGTTTTATCTGAGAGTAGGACTGACATCCTCTCCATCTGCCTCAGATAAAAGTAGATTATTGGGATTACTGGATTGTCTGGTAATTACACCATCAGTGATGCCATCTACCTATGTAATCCAAAGAAAACACAATGTGCCTGATGTCAATGTTCAGTCTGCACAATAATAACATGTTTGCTGACTTCACAGAGTGAGCACAAAGCAGCCGTTACTGATGTAATCAATATGTAATGTTCACTTGACCCAGATTTCCACTCTATACTGCAAGCTGGAGTAAAAATCCAACATCTATAGTACATTATAAATGAGCAATGTTTACTAGAGATGCATACCGCTGCATTTTACTCACTGAAATGGATTGAGGATGTGAAATATGGTCTACTTTTGTTCAGTAAATATACAATTAAAGTTTGATTCTGCTCCAGTCAACCATTACATATGGCAGCCTGGAGAGCCGTTTATCCCGTTTAGTCATATATTTAATTTAATCCTCAAAACCTGACATTTATAATGGATTTTTGCTGCAGGGCCTCCCATGTTTGCATGCTTCTAATGCAGATTCATCACTCGCTTGTTTGCTTAAGGAGAATACTGAAAAATAAATGTGCACAAATGCAAGAGGGCTAAAAGTCTTGACTCAATTTTCATTATTTGTATTAATGAACAGGATAAAAAAGATTCCAAATAGTGTAATTGGCCAAAATTGTATTTTCTGGAGTTTTTGCATCGAACACAGCTAAAATACTGCACACTGACAAGGCATTTATCTTAACTTAATATTAATAATTGGTATTTTTGACAGTTTTTATCAATTTAAAATGCTTTGATTTTGATTAGGAGGACATGAAAACGTGCTTTTCTCTTTATATTGTCCCAGATTACAAGCTAGTTTTAACCCACAGAGGTGCTGTTTAAGCTTAAGCTTTTTGAAATATCGAAATATCAATATTTGATGACATGCTGTTCCTACTGGATGATGATGATTCAGGCAAAGCAGCAGGCTCAGTCCTGGTTAGTAATGTAGTGTGATGAGCGCTTATGGAGCTTCACAGCCTGATATTAGCAGTGCAGAAATATTGTATTAAACATCAGAGCAGGCCAGCTTCATTCAAACAACAAAAAAGGAAAGTCTTATTAAGCACGGACTCCTATGATGGAGGTAACATTAGCGTGGGATCTGCTAGTGGGGAGAAATTGAAGATAAAATGATGTGGCTAGTGCAGCTGGTGGGATAGAGAGCAAATGAGAAAGACAGGGGTCTGTAGACAAAGAGGAGAAGCAGCATTAGCGTGGGTGAACTGAGGCCCATTCACTAAAGCTTAGCGTGTGTGCTCGCTAAGCAGAAGCTGTGTGACGCGCAGGGCTGTCTCTAATGGTACAGAGGATGAAGTGAGTGCTGGGTGTTTGCTTGAATATAGGAGGAAGCAAACATCTTTTATGTCGAAGTAATGCATGTTAGCGCTTCTTGGAAAAAGCTGCTAAAGCATGCAGAAGTTTGAAACAAAAAACTTCATTTAGTTGTTTGGCTCACTTGCTAATGCTTAAAAGGTTCTAATGTAACATGTTGTACCTCTACAGCTATTAAGAAAAGTAAAACATTTTGGGTAAAATATTTCACTTTCTTGCCAAAAGATAGCTGAGAAGTTTGATACCACTCGCAGCCTGTATGCTAAATATGCAACCCAGTCTCACGGCATTTCGTGTTATAGTCAAAAAATTAATTTAATCTATTGATTCGTGTTCATTGGGTCTTGGAATACCAGAAGCTGTGTGGTTCATAAAAACGTTTTCTTACTCAATATCTTACCTTGTAAATGTCGGAGTTTTTTTGCCGTCCGCAAGGAAAAGAAATGGGGCTCAGAGTCTCAGAATACTGAAATCTGTATTTAAAAAAATCTTTTTTTCCTTCTAATTTGTTATTATTTGGTGCAGGCACGAAACATACTACCAATAGAAATACATTGCTTCTAAAATCGTTCTGTGCCAGAATACTGAAATCTGTATTTTTTTTAAATCTGTTTTTCCTTCTAATTTGTTATTATTTACATTGCTTTTAAAATCGTTCTGTGTGACACGAAAAAAATGGCGTAATCGTGTTGTGAACACGAATCAATAGATTAATTTATTGACTATAACACGAAATGCCGTGTGTTGAAATATGAAGCTAGCATTATAGCCAACAGCACGGTTAGCTTAGCGTAGCATAAATACTGGAAACATGGGGAAGCAGCTAGTAACTTACAGTTAGTAAGTGAGGTGCAGAAAGGTGGATATTCATATTAAAACTGACCAATGCTAGCTGTTTTACACTTTTTCAAAATAATTTTGCTAAGCTAAGCTAGCAGTAACTTTATAATTACTGCATAGATAAGTGTTTTATTGTGTTGTTTACCAATTTTCTCTGAATTTTCAACAAAAGCTGATTAAGCTCTGACCTTTAAAGTCTTGGCCAATATGGAAGTAAAGTGGGAGTTAAAGTCATTTCCAGTAGCCTAAAGTTGTACACTGCATTATCAAACTGCATGCAACACATCTACAGTAAATACATGAGTTTAGAGAAGAATAAAGATGTGTTCACCTTAATTTCCACGTACAAAAGTAAGTACAAACTTTATTTAATGTGTATTTGTTCCAATATTGCATGATTACCAATGTTTTGTATCTATCGTTTCCTATTATCTATACATTTGATGTTTTCTGTGAAAAACGGCAGGACAATAAAGGGAAAGTGGCGAGTGGCACTGTGGTTTGATGAGGTCAACAGTTATCTTTTATGCAAAGGATTAAACATTTGAATAGTGCGTATATTGTGTGTGCACCATCTGAGACGAGCCCTCTGCGTCATCCAGCCTCCTCCAGAGCTACAAGAGGAATGCAAACGATCCCCATGCACAATGAGCGAGATCACTGACCTCCAACTCGCCCTGCCTTTGAATGAGATAACGCATCACCTCGTTTGCCCAATGACAGCTCTGATTCAATAAGCCAATTAAATGAGGCGGGTAGCATGTTCTGTGTGCTAAGGAGATAATGGCAGCCAATGCCAGTGTGAGGGAAACCTGTGATGGATCCGAAGGAGGGAGGAAGGAGCGTTACCTACCTCCTAATACAGATTTTTAAGAAGGAACATCCATCACAGAACATAATGAGAGAACAGAACGAAAGTGTGAAAGGTTAGAGAAAGGGAGGAACAAAAAAACACATAAAAGGATTTTTCTGAAAGACACAACAACCACGTAACACAACGCCGAAGATACGAAGTTTAATTAACAAAAAGAGGCATGCTTGAAGAGTGAGGAAGGAGAGGAGAGAGAAGACCAAGCAAAGAGGAGAGGACACAAGATGAAGGACGAGGAAAGAAACAAAACACTTTGTAGTTGCGTAAGAAAGCTCCTTTTTTTCGGGCAAAAATGAGCGGCAAGAGCAGAAATCATGAGCTAACTTGAGCAGAAACTCATTCTACTGTAACGCAGCGTCCACACGGCGGCGTGCGTTGAAGCTTACCGGCGGGCGTGTCTGAAACTCCACCAACAACCAATCACATGAATCTCCCGCCCCGGACACACAAGCACGCGGTTTGATTGGATAGAGCTTGTACTGGCATATCCGTCGAAGCTTCAAAAGTTGAACATTGCTCAACTTTTGAAGCGAGAAAAGCGAAGCGACGCTCCCACAATGCAATTTGGCGAAAAGTGACGTCACCCCATTCAAAGTGAATGGGCAGAAGCGTTGAAGCTTCAACGCACGCCGCCGTGTGGTCGGGCCGTAATGACACAAAAAAGTCAAGAGATATCGTAGGAATCAGCTTTTTTCAGCCATGTATGCCTAAACTGTCAACCTCTAACATGTGCACTGGAAAACCCAACATAAACAATAAACCCACAACAACACAAACACTCATCGCCAGAGAAACGAAAGGACACTGCTTATCAAATTGATGCTGACACTGCTGAAAAATGATACAAATCAACACATCATTTCGGTGACTTAAAAGGCACATACCAAGCTTTAAGAGCCAGCCCTCTCTGTCGGGGTTGAAGAACGTGTGCGTGAGATCGTTCCCGTCATCCTCTGGGATTTTGAAGGGCTCGTTTTTGATGCTGTCGTAAAGGTTCTGCAGACAGGGGAAGGAAGTTATTCATCAAAAGGCTGAACAGTGTTAGAAGTGCCTTGCTCGTTTGTAGTAGGCGTGACAGAGAGATCACAGAGGTCAATCATCACACACACAGAGGAACACACACATTACGGACGAGTCCTCACCCTGAGAAGCTCCTCGGGCAGATCCCCCCCCTCGTTGATGCCTCTGTTCATGGAGATGAAGCGCTCCACGGGGGGCTTGTCTCTGACGTTGGGGTTGTGGAGGCTGGTGTTCAGCATGATGATGGCAAAGGACAGTACGTAGCAGGTATCTGAGAGCAACAGAAAGGGAATCAAATTGATCAATAACACTGTAACGGAGGTGATCTTTGGGGCCATAGATCTCGGCCTCCGTTACGGATTGTGTAGCTTTGTTGGTGGCGAAATGTATGTAGCGTGTGCATCTGTCTGTGTTTTAGTTTGTCTGTCTCTGTTTGCTGGTTTTATGTTGAAAAGTGTTCCCCTTTCCCCATGTCTGTTGCTGTTGATTGTGTGCACCTGGTGCCCTGTGTTGTCTCCTTCCTCCTCACCTGTGTCTTGTTGGTTGATTAGGTGTGGTGTATTTAGGCT